AATATATTATCTAATATTATGATATAATATAATATAAAATAAAAAAGGACACGGTTTCTAATGTGGCCAGCCTGCATATTGTAGAAATGTGGGCTTGGCAGTAAATATATTTTTAAAATATAATTTGATCATAATTTTTAGAGAACATATAATCTTTAACATGGAGATTATGAATATGAAAAAAAATAAAATAAAAAATTGAAAACTAGAAATAGTAATTATATTAAAAAAAACATTTGAAATTGTTTTTAGATGGACCACCTATTTGCGTTCGTCGATGGATGTTTTACCCCTCTAGATTGCATATTGTAGCCCATATGAAACAATTTTCCAATAATATTTATAGTGTAAATAGTAAATAATGAATAGTGGGTCCGCATGTGAAACCAAATACATGGGCATGTTTCCTCAGCTCAATAGGTATGGCTTCGTTTTACCATAAATAAGATTATTTTCACGATAAAAGGTTTTACCATGGTATTTTATTTGCACATGCATTCGCACAAACCAAATGTATAAAACGCGATTTACATATATAAATATTTCACAGGGAATATTTACTTGCGAACCAAACGTACCCCAAGGGGAATTTTATGCAAATATCCTATTTGCGGGATCAAAAGACAATTCTACATTTAAGAATTTATTTGAGATCCCTTTTTTGTCAATTTTTTTTACCCAAAATGCCCCTAATTCAGTACTTGAAGTGTCGGATAATATATTGCCGAACCAAAATTATTTTTCTTTTTCTTTTAAAATCAGCACACTTGAAGTGATGGACAGACTTCTGTATAAAAATATAAGGGGAGCGCATTGACCTTTGATATGTTTTCTGCTAAAAGTTGGCATGATACTTGGGTGCCAAATGACCTTCTCAAAGAACTTGTTTACTTCGACTACCATGCCACTCCAAAAAATAAAAAGGAAACTAAATAAAAGGGTTTATTGTTGTGTGCAGAAGCTCTAAAATATGAAAGGTTGAATTTTGGCTAAGTAAAGAGGGGGAAAACACAGCCTACTGCAAACAAAGAACATGCAAAAAAAGTAAAACATACTAAAAAAAAAAAAAGTTAGTGGCTCAATTGATCTAAATTAGATGACTGGATGGGGGACGTATATATCTTCAATGCTATAGAGGAAGCATAGAAACCTTTCTCATTTAACATTTAACATAGGGCGCGGTTTCTATAAGGTTGCAACCTTAAACAATCCAATTAAGGCGCACCTCCAAATTTTATCATAACATATAATTTTGTTGTAAATTTTTTTTAGGATTATCTTAAAAACTATTTTCATATCTAATTAGAAAATTTTAAATTAAAATCAAGAAGATCTATAAACATATGAAAATCTTGAAAATGGACGGTCTAGATAATGTGTTGCAAGATGCACTATTTTTGGATTTCAAATTTTTTTTTTTTTAATATTCATACATCTTGATGTTGAGATGATCAATTAGAGGATTTTTCAACATTAAAACAGCCTTTCCAATAGATTTTTGAGATGCATCTGTGATTCTACATTTTAAGGTTGCAACCTTATATAAATTTTTCCCTTTAACATATATTGTTTGATTTTATTTCAAAATACCCATTCAAAGACACATGATCATGAGCTGGAATAGGTGCAAATAAGTAAAACATTAAATAGTACATCTCTAATGCGTATTTTGATAAATATCCTAATAATTTATTATAGTGTAGAGGGTAGACCAATCTCTATTATTTAGGAGAAGAACCGGAATTGTATCCATGATATTGCATTGAAACTTATTGCTTTCAATTTTTAATAAGGCAACCAATATATTCTCATTTCTAGATATATCACATAAAACAATTTTTTAGTATAAGACAGAATAGTGTCGTAATTTCATTTGACTGAAATTTTTTACCTAGAAAATTTTCTAGAGGGCTTGAATAGATGGATATTATATTTTTATTTTAGTAAGAAAGAAGAAATCATTCTAATATTATGATTCTCAAACTCTTAGTCCAAATTTTTAAAGAAATAACTTAGAGAAATTCCTGCAAAATGTTAATGGAACTATGATGAAATCGAATTCTTTTAAGTTGAATACTCCAATTGAATTTATGTACCTCTAAAGTGCTCGACATTTTCTTTGTCTTTGATAAGCTGCTACCACTTTCATTATTTCAAGATGAGAAAAAGAGCCTCAATTCACTACAAGAACTTGATGCATCTTCCCAACTCTTACAAATATCATTCCATACAATCTCAGTGTCATGCATCATGGATAAGCTTACACGAGAACCAGTATTATACAAACTGATGCTTTGTGGAGTTGTGTATCGTTTCAATTGCTTGATAATGCACTCTCTCTTCAGGTATTCACATTTCTCATTGGAGTTCCATATATCCATGGCCTTCTACTCTTCTATTATTTTGATTTCAGTTGCTTGATTAGTTCATCATTCTTCAGTGTGAAGTCCCAAAGTTCTCCATACTTCTCATTGAAATCCCATATATCCATGGTATTATACTCTTCTATCAACTTGTCACGAGCCCCTCTGTCCATGTTGTATATCTCAGGCTCGAAGTTATGGGGTTTATCAGGCTTTCCAATCTCAATTGCACAAAAGATCACCACAAACACGGCGGCACCAATGAACAAGTACTCGCCCTGAAAATTGTTTCCCAACATGATTACATGATATTGCATTCCTTCACAACAACGAGAGAAAAGAAAGTAGGACACCTCTGTCTCTGTGTCAGAGAGAGGGAGAGAGAAGGACACCTCTGTCTCTGTGTCAGAGAGAGAATATTGGATTTTTTAATTCATAAATTATCAGTTCAAATAAAATTAGAGATTTTCCAGACCCAAAATGGAACTTCTTGTCCTATAATCTGTGTTTTACAAAGCAAACCGGTGCGATGGATCATTCACCCACTGATCCCAGTCTTCAGTGATTTGGATTTCTATTAAAAAAAGAACAAAGAAACAAATGATATATATAAGGGAAAAATTTATATAGAGCCAAGGCTCTAAACAATCAAATTAGAGCCCACCTTAAAATCACTAGAAGAGGTTATTTTGATGCGCAAATATCCTCAAATGGATCATCTCGACATCAAGATGCATGGACATGAGAAAAAAATGGATTTCAAGTGTTGGAAATAGTGCATCTTGTAACGCATTTTTAGACCGTCAATTTTCAAGATTTTCAAGTTTTCATAAATCTGCTCTATCTACACTATTTTGAAGCTTTAAATTTTATAATTAAAGATGAAAATATATTTTATGGCTATCACAAAGATTTCCATTATTGAAACCACATTTCTCGACACTATTTGAAGGTGGGTTTACTTTGACTGTTTAGAGCCTCGGTTCTATTCAAACCGCACCTTATATTTCATAATATGTGGATCTTAGAACACTAAACTTGGATAGCTTATTCTGTAGGCATGTTGATCTCTCACAACAGATCTAGCATTTGTTATCAAATAGAGCCCGGGAGGTCTAAGCTGTAAGATCTCTCATGATTTTTTGTCATAAAAAGTCTACGTTATACAGCATATTGAGCAAATTGTTGATTCTGACAAGGGACTGGATCGATCTACAATGATCTCGACTAGAACCATGTAGCCAAAGATGTGAAATCTAAGCTTCTCATCGATGAACCTGGGAGAGAAACCACTCCCACCGTACAACCATGAGACATATTTAGATGGTATTCAGGTTTTTAGGTTCATTTTGAAACACGAGTTGATTAGCCTCAAAAAATCTCTTGCCATAGGTTAGAGAAATCACAGTCAATCATGGGATCCATTTCCAGACTAATCTTACGACAGCTTGTTGACAAACCTCACAACAATTATTTAAGGAAGAGAATTGCACTAAGACTGACCTCAACATGCATAGCCATGCCAGCAACCACTGCTGGAGGAAAAAGCCATGCCAGAAGCCCTGCCGGAACATATCAAATCCAAAGCTTCAGGCCAACTTTTATAGCAAAGAGTACATCATCTAGAGCTTGTTTATTTTTAACAATTGATGAGTAAACTTTGAGGAATTTAACTAATTTTATACCTTGGAAGCCAGAGGGGGGTTCTGCTGCATCATAATCAGACTTGACCAATTCCCAAAATGTCCCTAAACCATGGGAAATAATTTAAATTAAGAATCAGCACAAGAAGGGCCCTCATCTGGAGGGATCTTGATAATGGGGGCACGCGTAATGCCCAAAACACTATTTAGAGCTCATTTTGATAACTCTCAAAAGCGACATTGCCACGCACTCAAAAAAAAAAAATCCATGCAAAAATATTTGGGGTAAAATGGGTCTGCTGTTCTCAGCTGTCTACTTCATCTCTTCTCCTTTGATCTTGGTGTCCAACATAACAGTGTGCTGCAGGCTGGTTGGCTCATAGAATCAGTTTCCTTGAGCTTTTTACATCCGCATTTCGTGCAATAATCAAAGTGTCATTCGCAATAACCAAACCAAGCTTCAAATGAAGGATCAAAATCATTTAATCAAACACTCTACTGATAAGGGTAGCAAAAAGTGCCTCCAAACGCACCTTTGGATCTATGAAATGAATAGAGATTGAGAGAAAGATATGTGAGCTTGCTTTTATGTTTTATACATGGCTTTGTACAATCACAGGGGTATCTAGAAGCAAGCATATGTCATTTAATGCAAAATCAAGAAGGCATGCTTCAAATTCAATTCAAGTGTCTACTCTAGAAGTGTTCATGTAATCTGAACAGTAAAAAACACCCATCAAGCAGTTAAACATAAAGCATCTCATCTAACCATCAGATAGCAGATCAACTAGCTAAAGTGATGACAAAGAATGTTCTCTTATTTATTTTAGCACTAATTATTAGGGTACATATATCTCTTGATTGTATGGTATATATCTCTTAGGTGTCTAGGGTTATGATAAGATTAGTTAGTAATTCTCAATAACCGTCGGTGTCTATCCAGAACTGTTAGCCGTATATTTATACGGGTTTTGTATATTCTTTATTGCGGGGTCTTGTATATTCTTTATTTCTCAATAAAGAGAGAATTCTCTGCAGTATTCTGAGTTTCTAATATAGTATCAGAGCCTCAACCTCAGATCTGAGGTTACCAACCTCAGATCTGAGGTTGTCGGACCTGAGCTCGGCTATCTAAGGTTGTTGGATCTGAGCTCAGCTATCTGAGGTTGCCGGATCTAAGCTTGGCTTCAGTTTCGTTCTGACTCTCTGTCGGATAGTTGCACCCTCTCTGATGTTGTCTTCCTCTCTCTAAAGTGATCTCGGCACAAAGTCGGATTTTCTTTATTTAGGCAACTGTAAGGATTTTCTTCTCTCTTGAGAATTTGCAAAATTGTTTGTGAAGCCACCCGCTGCCCGTGTAACTGAGATTTGTTATGTTTTGCTTTGCAAATTTCCCTGATTCAATCACTACAAGTTTGCTTTGCAAATTTGCAAACTTCTCCCATTCCAATATTTTTCTTTGGTCTGCAACTTTGTGAATCCATTGCGAACCCCTTTGCGGGTCTGTAATTCGAGATCCAACATAAAGGAAAATCTGACCCCTGATCTCGGCAGTACCATCAAAGGAAAAAGACTCCTCCTTTGCACAAAAACTTCAGCTCTCCTCTTCGTCCTTCGTCCATGGTTGAATCAATCAATACTAGCAGTTTCGTGAGAGAAACTCATTGACCAAGGAAGCACTGCCAAAGGACTAAGATTCGCTTTCGTGCATGGTTGAATCAATCAACACTAGCAGTTTAGTGAGAGAAACTCCTAGACCGCTTTCGTCCATAGTTGAATCAATCAACACTAACAGTTTAGTGGGAGAAACTCATAGACTGAGGACGTACTGCCAAAGCCCTCAGATTCTCTTTCGACTCATCTATTCTTTGCCAATTGTGTTTCGACTCTCTGCCGAGTTGTGTTTCGACTCTCTACAAAACAGCTGCCAAGTTGTGTTTCGAATCTCTGCCAAGTCGTGTTTCGACTCTCTGCAAAACAACTTTTGTCTCTGTTTTGGCCTGTGTTCTAACTGCGAGTTGCTGAATCTGTCTCGGACTACGAGTTTCTGAATTTGTCTCGAATCCACACCGAGTTTTGTTGGCTTTTCCAAGTACCATTCTATTTTCTTAGATGTCTCGACTGTTTTTCTGTCTCCGGTGAAGATCTTGAGTTTTTTTGTCTAATGGCTCAAGTTTGTTGCTCCTGAGGCCATTGTCCATCTGTTGTTCCTGAGGCTTGTTGATCCGCTACTGCTTTCTGTGATTGTTGTTCAAGCAATCTGAGCATAGAGACCACTGCTTCTATTGGTCACGCCATGTACGTGGCAATCTGAGCATGGAGACCACTGCTTCTATTGATCACGCCATGCACGTGAAGACTTCAAGATCCAACTCATTTGTTTATGGTAAAGCAATCTGAGCATAGAGACCACTGCTTCTATTGATCACGCTATGCACGTAAAGACTTAAATATCTAACTCGTTCTTTTATGCACGAAGACCACTGCTTCTATTGGTCACGACATGCACGTGAAGACTTAAAGATCCAACTCATTTGTTTATGCAACTCATTGTTCAAACTCCAGCTGCATTGTGTGAAAGCATCTTGAGTTTGAGGGAGAGTGTTAGCGCATATATCTCTTAATTATATGGGTATATATGTCTTAGGCGTCTAGAGTTAATAATTATCAATAACTGATGGTGTCTATCCAAAACTGTTAGCCGTATATTTATATAAAGTCTTGTATATTATTTATTTATCAATAAAGAAAGAGTTATCTTGGATATTTTTTATTTATCAATAAAGAGGGAGTTCTCTGCCGTATTCTAAGTTTCTAACTAATTCCCCCATTGAAAGCCAAAATGGTGTTGGTTAGTAGTTTCAGTGTGTATCCATTGCAGGACAGAGAGATTGTCAAAACAAAGAAAAGAAGCCAAACAATCAGAGAAAACAAAGAAACGAGCTAAGTAATCAGAGAAAACAAATAAACAAAGCCAAATAATCAGAGAAAACAAAGAAACAATGCTCAGTAATCAGAAAAACAGTTATTCAAAAGTAATTCCCCAATAATCATACCAGAAAAGGCAGACCCCTTCCAAACCGAGCAATTCTTGAAATAAAAAGTGAAACTCAGTTCAATAAAATTAAAGACTAAGAAAGAGAGGGCCAGGAATTACGCTTTTCGCCTTCGCCTTCGTGGTAAGTGTGATGATCATCGTACTCCCCATAATGAAAATCTTCCTATGCATTAATGGAAATTAAAACAGAAAATCAGGAAAAGTTCAAAAAGTTTATTAAAAAAAAAGAAGAAGAAACCGAATCCAAAAGCTTTCACTCACCGCGCTCACTCCATTAGTGGCCCAACGGTCTCCCTTTTCTTCAACAAGGTCAGGCTCAATCTCTGCAAAACCTGCAGCATTCAATCTTGTGATGCTTCTTCTGTTCACCTCAGAATTGAACAATGAGACTGTAAAAATGGCTGGTTTTCTTCTTGATTTTTCAAGAAAATTGGGGGTTTTAAGTGAAACTGGAAGATTGGGTAGATATGTAAGAAGCAAATACTGACTGGTGATGACTGATAGAGAAGAGGATGCAACCATAGCTTCTGGTTTTTAGTGGGTTTTTTTTTTCTGTTTGCCCGCATTTTTCTTCATTTTCAGAGAGAGAATACTTCTTATCCTTGCAACGACAGGGGATTTGGGGCCAGACAAAACGCTCGTGTGTACTGCCAATGAAGAATTTCCCACCAAAACATTCATTTCAAATAATTTAGGCGACCATCACCGTGCGACTTACTTATTGGACGGTGATGTCGGTTTGATCATATCATCATCTCAGGCGTCATAGTATTATTTCTCAACGCATTATTTGTGGTTGGAGTAAAATAAAAGAAACGTCTAACACAATATTGCGACCTCCTTGTGTAAAAAACAAAACAGAGTCTTACCTCCAAATTTTCATTAAAAGAGATTTCAAATATCTTTGAATTTATCATCTCGACATCAATATGCATGGACATAAAAAAAAAATAGATTTTAAGTTTTGAAAATACTACATCTTGTAACATATTTTTAGACCGTTTATTTTCAATATTTTCAAGTTTTCATAGATATGCTCGATCCACACTATTTTTAAAGTTTTAAATTTTATAATTAAAAATAAAAATATATTTTAAGATTATCACAAATATTTCTAATATTGAAATCACATTTCTCGATGCCATTCGAAGATGTCCTTTACTTTGATTGTTTAGAGCCTCGGCTCTATACAACCCTCATCCGATAAAGTAAATTGCCTAGTTGCATACTTTTTTTTCTTTTTTTTCTTTTATTTAAAGGACGAATAATACAATCGAATTTATGCATAATATGGAAGCACGTATAATATACTCCCACAGGAGCACAATATACACCCTCTCCGGCAGAAGAATAACGTGGGAAGATTCTTTTGATTTGAAACTTTGGGAACTATGTGAAAATCATTAGATGGTAATATTTAAACGATCAAATTTGAATTTTGAGTTTTTAAATACTTAGATCTTACTCTTAAAAAACTTGAACGGTTTCTATTCAATATTAATACATTTTTTTCTGAAGCCCATAGAGATGCAATTTGGACTTCTTCTTTTTTCTGCTACATATAATGTATAGGTTGAATATTTCACTTCCCCAAAGTTTGGGGTGTTAAAAATACTCCAAGATTAAGTTTTCCCCGAGAGAGTAAATGGATAGCATGCTCCTTCTAGAGCATGAAATAGACCAATAGAAAAATGTTGTTTTGATGTTAAAAAAATATATACGGATAAAAAGAGAAAAGAGATAAAATCTTTAAAATAATGTATTTTGTAATACAATATTTGCATCATCTATTTTTAGGATTTTTAAAGTGTTTATACATTGGACATTGTTCGCATGCGGCCAAGCCCGCACATGTAGAAATGTAGGCTTGTCAATAAATATATTTTTTAAAATAATTCGATCCTAATTTTTAGAGAATATATAATATTTAACAAGGAGATCATGAATATGATTTTTTTAAAAAAAAAACTACAAATAATAATTATATTAAATGAACATTTGGATTGTTAATTACAATTGTTTTTAGATGGGCCATGTATTTGCACCCATCTTTAAGATAGATGCTTTGTACCTTGGGACCGCATATTGTAGAATTGCGGTCTAGCCCGCATGAAACAATTGTTTGTATAAATTTGCGGGAAAAAGTTTATATAAGGATGCAACATTATAATGTAGAACTACTGATGCACCTCAAAAATCCATCAAAAAAGGTAGTTTTAATGTTGAAAAACCGTTTGATTGATCATCTCGACATCGAGAT